AATTTAAAAAAAAAAAAAAAAAAAAAAGAGAGAGAGAAAAAGAGAGAGAGAGAGAGAAGAGGAAAAAAAAAACACTTCAACATGAAGCTACCATACAAAGTTTTTTTTTTTTTCCTGTTTCTTTTAAGAGTTCAGAGTTGCAACTTAATCCTGGCTCTTTAGTGAGAAGGACAGTTTTGGCCTAGACTTTCCTTTGCCCAGGATCTTTTTTTGCTCTTCCTTTTGCTGACGTTGTCTCTCTTGTTCTAGTTTCATCCTTTCCTCATGAATCTTTCTTTGTTCTTCAACAATTTTCAATTGTTCTTCAGCCTACATATGAAAAGAGCAGAACTCAGGCCAACATATTTTGTAGTCGTAAAAGCAGTTTACAGTTCTGTACAACTCCCAAGCATAAGTAGTTCTACCCTGGCTAGACACCATAGTTACATGAATTGAGTTTAAAAATCTCTATTTACAGACTTTTACACTAACAGATGAATACCAAAATACTGAATGCTTACATATAAGGTTTTTCAGTATTGTTTGGAAACACCACACTGAAGTATTTTCATTTAGGAAGCCAATGCACAAACAGAGCCATATTATATAATGCCATATTTAAGATGAAGATACAATGAAATACAGCAATGCTCCCTCAAACGCGCTCTAAACTCACCCTCCAAAAGCAAAGTCCAAAAGACCCTCCTAATTCAAACCAGTTGTCAACTGACTTCCAGCAAGTCCTTAGATTGATACGCTATTACAGCATGCAGTGAGTTAAGTGAAACAATTCATGTGCTACTTATGGACCTGCTTGCAAGAAGTAAAAAATCACAAACATTTCCTAAACAGAACCTCTTCAGGTATCTTCTGAAGTCGCCAATTTTGTTCATTAAATCGGTTAGCACTTCAGTTTTTCCATTTGTCCCATTTCCTCCATATGAGGTCAGGAAAAGGACAAAGTAGCAACACCACCTCAGGGTGAGATCTAAAGCAGATTCAGTTCAAGCAGACAGTTTAAAAGAGATCTTGTTCACCTGAGAAAGCTGTAATTAGTTGAGTGACTTAAACTGTTCAAGCAGGATTTTAAAGAAGCTTAGTTTGGCTTATCATAAATTGATTAGAATCAGCTAAACCATACCAAATATCCTCATGAGGCAGGCACCCGCTTAAATGACTATGAGACGAACATGGGTTAAGACTTTCATAATGTAGAAGTCTTAAGCTTATGGGCTCAAAGTTTCTTTCAGCACTTGTATAACATTATACTAGTCTCAATCCAGTTTGTACTTGTCCTACTCAAGAAGACAGAATTACTTAGTCATTCACATTCTAGAAATTAAACATGTATTTGCAAGTATACTTCCAGTAGCCCTGTGAAATACTGTTAACATGTACTTCTAAATTCCAAAGGTAGTAATCTTTCTCTAAATTATCTGCACCAGAACCAGTCTCTGACTAGTTTCAGAACACTGTTACTGCTAAAGAGCTGGTCTCTCTCTGTAGAGATGGAGAACAATCCTTATGGACATAGACAGCAACAGACAGTTTAAAAATCTTGTGTATTTTAATTGCATTGCAAATTAGGCAGAGGGACCTGTATTCCCCTAGAAAACTTTAACTACATGTTCACATACCAGTTTAGCTTGTGCTTCTGCAATTTTCCGATTATTCTCTTCTAGTATTCGCTCTAGTTCCTCACGCTTTGCACGCTCTTCTTCCTAAAGGGGAGGACAGGGCAAGATGTTAGTAAAGTAAAATATTCATTTCTGCATGTTCACTAATCTTTCTCAGAATTCTTTTGTGAACTGACTTAAAGTGGCAGCTTTAGAGCCACCTATTTTGTCTCACAAAGGTAAATTGTGCAGCCACTAAATCTGGTCTCTAGAACTAAATTTAAATCATCCCGCCCAGTCCAAACAGCAACCAACTAAACCCTCCCTAGTCATAGAAACCTGACAATTTATGACTAGAATTTTAACATCACACAAATCAACAAGGACAACTACAAAAACTGGATAGTATTTACCAAATTAAAAAGCAATATATAAAATATAAATAAAGTGAATAGTTTGTCTCACCAATTAAGTATACCTACGTATTCTTTACCTATACTCCTTTAATCAGCATTAAAAGTTGAATATTTACTGTCTTGTCCAGTGTCCTGCAGAGTGTGCTCCTCGGCTGCCATACGCGCCAGCTTCCTCTTTAAAATGATTTGTACTGTTAGCTTGGCAATACCTGCATCAGCAGCTCAACCATTTATAAAGAAACAACATACAAGGAAGGCTGAGCTGAGGAATGCAGATGTTTATGATAAGAAGGAACAAAAATATGTAAATCATTCCTAAGGCAAACAATTAATAAGAAAAATACATTTACTGTTAGTGAAAAATACAAATGGTCATCCATACTTCATGGAGCTATGGGCTTCTTTCATGGGGAGAATGGACTTAACATTCAATATTTTGACAATTTTAAGACAGGTTGAACTGTCATTTGCAGTCTGAACTTGAATTCAGGAGTCCAGGGAAGGCATGATCAGGAAATAAAGCCTTGTAATTGTTGTTTTCTTGGTGAATTTTATGGAACTCTATGCAACCCATAAATATGAAGACTGCGTGAAAGTTTCTGAAGTGTTTCAGTTCACATGATATAAATCCAAAATATTTTAATATTTGGAAGATTTAAAGTTAGCCAGAGGTTTGGGTCTGTATAAGAAAAAAAAAGTTAACATGAACAAAGCAAGCATGTGAAGAGAAAACTTCTTACTATGACTAGTAACCAGCTACTGGCTAGCACGCTTCACTCCAGGTATTCTCCTTTGTAAAGGACTGACGGGACTTCTCCCCACTGAACTGACTACAACAAAGATATCTTCTTAAAAAATGTGATCCGATCAAACGAAAATCTCACTATATGAAACATTTGATGAATAAATGTTTCTAAATCAGGTCTCTTAAAGTTAAGGTTTAGATTTACAGAACAAGGAGAATTTAATAATCTTAAAAAACTGCTGAATTGCAATAGTGTCTTCTTTGTTTGTTTTTAAAGATACTATGTAACAGACAAGCATTTAGTTCGAAGCAGAAATTACGACTTTCCTCTGGTAAGCCAATCAAAGTATTAACTCAAAATGTGGAGGAGGCACAGACTGAAAAAGCTGTTTGATACTTGTGACTACTTAGCACAAATTTCCCTTACGATTTAAAACCTGCCCTGAAATTTCTGGATCCTGGAATGAGTGGTGCAGGCAGGCAAAGCCTTTAGTAGCAAGTTACTGTCTCACAGAAAGACATTTTCAGCTTCCGCTCCAGCTGCTAATTAAGAAAAACCAAAACCAAAAAAAGAAAAAAAAAAAAAACAAAAAAAAACCAAAAAAACCACAACAACCAAAAACCCAAGTCACATGTTCAGCTTGACTTCAGACAAGGGCAACCTGCTCTTTTATAACTTCTAGGGAAAAAAAAGGCGTTGTTAGTAGTTATTAAAAATGGATATAATGACTTGGACATAGATCCTTGGTGAAGACGTGGATGGGCTTATGCTCGAAGTCCCAGAATTAGTCCAATGTATGCTCAAGGAAAATGTTTATTTTATATGGAGAATAAGAAACCTATTTGTTAAAGACAGGTACTGCAGCTCAGTGCTGGGCCCTGCTCTTTGCCTGACTGAAGGCAAAAGCCTCTTACAGTCTAGGTAAGCAAAATGAAAACAAATGAAGGATACATAATTATAGATTTTTAATACCCTTCCCCAAAAAGAAAGGACCGTTGATAAATCCTGCAGCCATGGCAAAAGTTTCAAACAATTCTGAAATATGTAGGTCAGTTCCATTAAAAATCAAGTATCCTTGTTCAGGTTTTAGGAGAGTAACTGTTTAAGTATCAGTGAGCTCCTCAGAATAGGCTAGAAATTAGGTTTCGCAGCAATGCAAGTTTACATGAGAAGGGAATTAGATTTGCTGTATTCCATCTCTTTCTGAACCGAACAGGAGGCACAAACCGACACTGAAAGTTTTGCCATGGACTGTCTCTACTTTCCAAACGACCGAGCGTTACCTCTCTGGCTTTTTGTGCTGCAAGTTCAGCTTGTCGCTGTCGCTCGAGTTCTTCGAGCAACTGTTTTTCCATGATGCGTTTAGCCTCCTCCACCCTGCGCAGAACCTCTCGCTCAATCTCATCCTTCCGTTTCTCCAGTTCTTCTTCTACGCGCTTAGCCACGAGCTCTTCTACTCTTCGAGCAGTTTCTTCCTCTATGAGTTTCTCTTCAATTTCTTGTTGGCGACTAAAAGAGGCAAACACGAAGATTACTTTTTTGTCAGAAAAATATATATATA